TAAAATGGTAAATTTTTAAAGCATATTTTACCACAATAAAAAATTAATAAAAATATCCTGCTGTTATTTGGAAAGTTTCAAGTTTATTAATCTACATGGTACAAAATGTCATGTGTAACTGTAGGCAGCCCGGACAGAAACCAGGCTCTGAGACTCCCTGCCCACCTTCTCCCACCACCACCTCCTTCCCATCACCCTCTGTGCCTGGCCAACGAAATAGACTGGAGAAACTCTCCTCTGGCTATGAGAAGCAGGGAGGAAATATGCCACTGGTTTGGTGCCTTGAGTGAAAAGTCACTCTCAAGAAATCAAAATCCTAAGCCTGCAGCTCAAGAGGGTGAGGAGCCCAGATTGACACTGTGCAAACAGGCCAGCAGCTGGTCTGGAAGTGATGCCCCATGTGTGAGGTCAGATCAAGAAAGGCTTGAACACTATACTTGAGAAGTTGGGACTTTACCCTGGAGGCCTGTGGTTCTCAAAGTGAGATTGTGGAACCAGCTATGGGAGCATCACCTAGGAACTTAATAGAAATACAAATTCCTCCCACCTCCCTAACTAGTGAATCAGAAACTGTCGGGTGGGGCCTAGCATTTCTGGCTTAATAAGCCTTCCAGGTGATTTTTTAACAGCTTTATTGAAGTATGACTTACAGACCATATGATTCATTTCTTTCAAAGTGTGCAACTCAGTTATCTTTAGTAAATGTACAGCTGAGCAATCATCTCCACAATCCTATTTTAGAAAAGTTTCCATCACCCCAAAAGATGACTTGGGCCCATTTGTAGTCACTACCTGTCCCTCCCCAGCCCTGGGCAATAACTAACCTACTTTCTGTCTCTATAGAGTTGCCTTTTCCCTCCAGGTGATTCTGATACAGAATAAGGTTTGAAAACCACCATCTGTGGGCAACAGAGAACCAGTAAAGACCAGTAAATTGCAGAATGGCAGCTTTGATTTTCTACATAACTCTGGAGGCTGAGTGGAAAGACTTGAATGGGGAGACAGCAATCAGAAGACCAGTTAGAGGAAGCTGTTAAAATAATTTAGAGCAGTGGCTCTCAACCTGGGCGACTGTGACCTACAGGGAACACTGGCAATGTCTGAAGACATATTTGGTTGTCACAACTGGGGATGTTATGGCATCTGGTGAGTTGAGTCCAGGGATACTGCTAAGTATCCTACAATGCCCAGGACAGCTCTCACAACAAAGAATTATCAGGCCCAAATGTCAATAGTGCTGAGGTTGATCTAGATGACAATAAGGGGTCAGATTTTGGAGAAACTTCTGAGGCTAAACTAATAGGATTTCTCAGCTGGTTAGATGTTGGATGTGAGGAGAAAGGAGTCAAAAATGAAAGCTTTGAATATGGAAAACTATGTGAATGGGGGTGACAGAAACAGGAAATGGAAATGTTGGTGTAACTGAGGGCACAAGGAGACTTTGGGACACTTAAATGGAGATAACTGAGCTTGAAAGAAAGTCTGGGTTAGAGACAAAGATTGGAAAGTGTTCATGTGTAAATGATAGTTAAAGACAAAAGTAGATGAGAACACACAGAGAAAGAAAAGAAAATCATGTGCAGAATAAAATAAATATTTTACAGGACAAGATGAAGGAAAAGCCAGAAATGGAGACTAAGAATGGTCCAAAAACAAGAAAAAAAATGGGTCAGCAGGATATCCGTAGAAGCAAAAAAGAGTGTTTCAAGATGCAGAGGCTGGTCAATAGTGTCCAATGCTGTAGAGGTCAGGCAAACAATGCAGAGACTTCCATGAAAATTATTTTAAAAAAGAAAAAAAAAGTGTGGGTAGATAGTACCAAGAGCCTCAAACCTTTGCATTTAAAACCTCAAGGACCTCCAAAATCAAATCCATTTGCAAAATAACAAAATAATAATAATAATAAAAGCAGTTACTCTGGGTCATTAGATCTTTGATCTCTTCAACAATAACTTCATTTGCAGCTGTCAACAGCTCGTATTTTCCATCTTTACTCCCTGAGGGATTAAATTCAGAAAGAGGGTTGCCAGGATCTCCAAAGAAGTCTCCAAGTCTACCATTCTTTCCAGGATATAAGAATCGACTGAAATAGTGGGAAAAAAACCCCAGTTACACCAGGACTCACTGTTCTTGCTCATCACTTATGATCACCATGAAATTCAGCAGGAAAACAAAACAAAATCACAACCATTCTGGACCTGCAAGATTCTATAATAAATTTCATTTTTTTAAAATGTATAAAATAGGCAAACTGGCAAACGTGACTCTATCATCCAGAAAATGTGAGGCCAT